TTGAGACCTGTCTAATTGTTCTCCCATCTGCTTTGTTCTTCCATTCCCCTCTCCCTACTTGTATATTGCCCCCTCTCCAGCACCCAAACTATCCTGTGTCTAATCCCTTCTTTCTTTTTAATGAGTTTTTGCTTTCTTCCTATATGATATTCTTGATGTTATCTCATAACTCTCTGGTCTTTGGTCATTAGTGTTTAATGCATCAAATTGGTTCTTAAGATAATCTCTAAATTCAAGTCAGGTATGTTCAGGGCATATTTTGAATCTTGTAGACTTGTTAATTTCCTTCAACTTCAGCCTGAACTTGCATATGAGCAACTGATGGTCTGTTCCACAGTCTGCCCCTGGCCTTGTTTTGGCTAATGATATGGACTTTTTATACCACCTCTTTCCACAGATGTAGTCAATTTGATTTCTGTGCATTCCATCTGGTGAGGTTCATGTGTATAGTCATCTTTTATGCTGTTTAAAAGAGATGTTTACAATGAAGAAGTCATTGGTCTTGTAAAATTCTAATATGTGATCTCTAGCATCATTTCTACCACCAAGACCATATTTTTCAGCTACTGATCTTTCCATTTTGTTTCCAACCTTAGCATTCCAATCATCAATAATTGTAAATATATCGTGATTGCATGTTTAATCAATTTCAGGCTGAAGAGGTTGGTAGAATTCTTCAATGTCATCATCTTGGCTTTAGTGGTTAGTGTGTATATTTGAATAACAGTGGTATTAACTGGTCTTCCTTATAAGTGTGTGGCTATTATAACAGACACTGTTGCACCTCATGACTGCTCTTGATACATTCTTTTTGATGATGAATGTGACATCATTCTTCTTCAATTTTCCATACCCAACATAGTAAACCAAGTGATTGTCAGATTCAAAATGACCAATATCAGTTCATATCAGCTCACTAATCCCTAAGATATCAATGTTTATGAGTTCTGTTTCTTTTATAATAACTTCCAATTTTCCTAGAGTCATACTAAGTACATGCCATGTTCTGATTATTAATGGATGTCTGCAGGTTGTTTCTCCTCATTTTGAGTTGTGCCCCTTCAGCAAATGAAGGTCCCAAGAACTTTACTCTGTTTGCCTCATCATGGTCAACTCTACTTAAAGGAGGCAAGTCTTCCTTAGTTGTATTTTGAGTGCCTTCCAACCTGAGAGGCTCACCTTCTAGAGTATCTGACAATACTCTCCTGCTATTCATAATGTTGCAATACGAATATTCTGGTGCTAGCTGACAGTGTTCCACTGCTAGTTATAAGGTTTTCAGTGACTAAAACACTCAGAAATAGTCTGCCTCGCTTTCTTTCAAGTCTGTCTTCATCTGAAAACTCAGCTGAAACCTGTCTACCTTGTGTGATCCTGCAGATATTTAAAATACCAGTAGTATAGCTTCCGGCATCACAGCAACATGCAAGCCACCACAATACTGAAAAAATGACTGAAAATCAGTTACAAATTCAGTGTGGGATGTTACATGTCAGTATTCACAATAGGAAATGAGTCATTTATCTATGAGACAGGAAGTGAGCCAAGCTTATACTTTATGGCCCTTTGCCCTTTGGTATATTAAGTACCTGATGGCAGTTACTTTTGGTTGTTTCAGTAACTGATCTTTGGCAGCAAATCCCTCACCAAAAACATGAAGACAATGAAACCTCCAGAACAAAAAGTTCAACCCATTCATTTTCTGCCTTTATAAATTGCTCTGGTCAAATTGCTACTTCTTTTTTGAATCCCACCTTGGCCCTGATAAGACCTCAGATGAATCATGATGCCTTTCTTTGAGTTCCTAACCTATGTCTCTCTGTCCAGATGGGGAAACAGAGCCTGCAACTAAGCAGCCCATAATTCGAGAAGATGCCAAAAAAACATTTAAAGAAAACAAAGATTTGTGTAGGACTTTCCCTGGGTAGGGGGGGAGGATGGGATTCTTATGATTACACATTACTCTGTGGTTAACAATCCCTCTTTCTTCTTTGCCACAATTTTGAAAAAATGGTACTAGGCCTAACATGGGTGTCTTTACAAAAATGGCATTAAATGTTAGGTGTCATCAGTAAGTTATGAAAATGGAGCTACCCTTAGACAATTAAACTAGACTGGAGGTGAAAAAAAGAGGCATAAAGATGGTGTCTTGGAAATCACCCAGAGAATGGACTCAGGAGAGTGAGGGTGGGGCAAGGCTGAGAGAGTGGATATAGAGAAATAAGAAGAGAAAGATCAGGTTGTGATGTCTTACATTCATGGTTAATGATATCTACAGGGAATCAGATTGGACACAGCAAACAGAAGGATTAGACAGGAATCTTAGGAAGCAGTGAGCTTCTGTTAACGGGGAGAGACAACTCAGAAAAGGAGGGTAAGAAAGGTTGCACAAGTCAAAACTGTGATCCTTGGCACTGAATGGTACAACGATAGAAATCTTTTCACTGGTATATGTTTTGCTGTAAGTATTCTCAACAACAACAACAAAATAAACTTTTTTTAAAAATAGGCATCCATGAAACAAATAGAGGAAATGGACAAACATTTTAAAAGGTAAATCATAAAATGTGGAAGACAATGAGGTGATAAATTGAAGTGCTAGATATCTGGGTGTCTGTCAGTAAGCAATTTAAAAAAAAAAAAACACTTAATTTTTCCATTTAATCATTTGCAAAATGGAAGTAATAATACTTTTCTTACCTAAGTAAGAGCATTACTGCATCCATAAAGTGGAACCGGATACAAGCATAATGTATGAAAATGCCTTGAATAAATGGCAGAATACTTTGGAAAGGTTGGGCAGCATTTTTATGGCTCACCGTTATTTCTGGGAGTATTTAAAATGTTCTTGGGGGAAGGAGAATGTAATAGTTGGCAGGGTTGTAATGTCACAGAAATACAAAGCCTCTGGATGGGTGGGAATCTTGGATCATTAAGAGCAGGAAAAATGGCAGTCCCCAATCCTTGATTCTCTCTTGAAGCTCTTTAAAGGAAAATTCTCTGGTTTTGAGTTTTAAAGGGAAAATGTTTGGTGATTCCATAGTAGAACACTCACCTTCTATGAGGAAAACCTGAGTTCAATCCCCAACCGGTACCCCTTATGCACAGCTGCCACCATCTGTCAGTGGAGGCTTGTGTGTTCCTGTGGTGCTGAGCAGGTTGCAATAAAGTTTCCAGACAGAGTGAAAAGAAAGGCCTGAACACCTGTGTTCAAAAATCAGCCAATGAAAACCTTATGGATACAACGATCTGATCCACAACCAGTCAAGAGGATGACACACACCCAGAATCTTCTGAGGTGGGAAATTTCCACTTGAAAGGACAACCAGATCAACCTGGAGCAACTAGAAGAACAGAAGGTACTTCTTGAAAGAAAGACCTACAGGAAAAATACAAAACAATAACGGCAGTCCAACTGATTACTACAAGAACAAGCAAGTTGCTTGCCCAGGAGACATCAAGGCAAGTGGTCAGGTCCCATCAGGGCAAACCCCTTCCAAGACTAAGACTCAATGGGAATACACAAGCAGACATGCACTCTGATTGGTGACCACGTTTGTCACCAATAAGGGGAAGTCAGGGAAAAACAGCAATGAAGCTGTGAACTAAGCCCTACAACGTTCAATAGAATCTTGTGAACCCGGGTGAAGACCTGGTTGGCCAGCAGTGTGGCAAGACCTAGGGACTCTTGGGCCCAGAGTCAGTGGCATAACCACAGAGGACTAGAATGGAGAGTGAAGCGTCCAGCTGATAAGAAGAGAAGGAATATGCATAATAACACATTTGCAGATAATACCCACTTGACCTGGCTTCAGTGACTGGATGATCAGAGCTCAACTAGAAGAAGAAAGAAGAGAGGAAAAAAGAGTAATCTGATACAATTTGATGAATTTGACCTGCACCTATGGATGCAGTAACTCAAAAGAGGGAACAAATCCTTACAGCAAGGATCATTCCCACCCCCTCCATATACAGAGTAGACAGGGACGGGCAACTTGGACATTGGCTACCCAAAGTGGAGAGGCTACAAAGGCAAGAAGTGACTGGCTTACAAGCTGTCAAGAGGGAGCCTAGATCCAGAGGGTGCAGAGGAAGGTAGAATCTCCACTGAGTAGTATCCAATCTATCTGGGCGGGACTAATAAAAGGAAATGGGGATAGGTCCCTTGTGGTACAATGATGAATAATTGTTATCAGGACTGACTGCGAGGGTTGGAAATGTAAAGGTGGACATTTTGTAGCAAAAGGAGAGGAGTGATTGACTTTGCAGTCCAGGAGCGGAGATCCCTGGAACCATCAAGGGAGAAGAGCAGAGTGTGAGACCCTACCCAGAGAAGCAGTGACGCCAGAGATGGAGGCAGAGAGGATAATGTGGTGAGATGGAGTGGCTGGGAACTTTAGACCAAGAGAGGGGCTGTGTTCTGGTATACTCTTTGGTTGGTTGATGATGCATGGAGGGGATTGTAATCATGGTAATGAAACAATATATGATAGGATGAATGTAAAGCTAATGTTCTCCCATGTAAACTATCACATAATTCACAATAAAATATTAAGAAAAAATAAAATAAAGAATGGCACAGAACTGGGGAGCAGTTCATTCCACTGAGCATGGGGTAAAACTTGTCATGACAGCTGACAAGTTTTAAAGGACCAACAAGAAAGCAGGCTTCTAAGGGTTCTTCATAGTCATTGCTCATGAACTCAGTCTTCGCCAAAAATGATGGGAATTTTTTACAGTATTACTCAAGAGTTTTACGTGACCTTTTCTTTCCTAGTGACAAACCCGACTTCTGGTCTGCTTTTTTTCTCTCTCTCCTCCCCACCCCACTTTTGAGAACCACAGTGGCTGTCCTTAGAAGTAAGGGTATCATCACAGCCCAAGCAGTTCCTGCTTTGCTAACAGAAAGTAAGGAAAGAAGAGACAGGATCTCTATTTTCTGGGGGATAAAAAAAAAAGAAAAGATTTTTAAATTAATCAAAGTGTTTATATTTTTGCAAAGGACCCAAAAATTCAAAAATATTCTCAGTAATGGTTGTTAAAGAATCCTGGTGGCGCCGTAGTTAAGCACAGTTGCTAACTGAAAGGTCAGCAGTTCAAACCCACCAGCTGCTCAGCAGGAGAAAGCTATGGCAGTTATCTTCTGTAAAGATTGTTGCCGCTGTTGTTGTTATGTGCTGTCGAATGGGTTCCAACTCCTAGCAATCCTGTATAGGGTTTCAGAGGAGTGGTGGTGAGGTTTGAACTGCTGACCTTACAGTTCAAACCAACCTGCAATCCTATGCATTATCCTGCAGCTTCACGTCAGGATTCCTCTGTAAAGACTGCTGCTAAGGGCCATCAAGTCGGTTCCAACCCATAGTGATCCTGTATAGGATTTCCAAGGAGCAGCTGGTGAGCTTGAATTACTGACCTTGAGGTTCAAACCAACTTTGCAGTTCAGCACATTAACCCACAGCACTGAAACTCTATTAGGGCAGTTCTACTCTGGCCTATATTTCACAATAATAACTTAATCTGACTCAACAGCAACAGATTAAGTTATTATTGTTGTTGTTAGGTTCCATATGACAGAGTACAACTGCTCCATAGGGTTTACTAGGCTATAATACTTACAGAAATTGTTGTAATATTGCCGGATCTTTCTCCTGGAGAGTTCCTTGGTAGGTTGTGATGGCTGGCCTGTCTTTTGGTTAGCAGTCAAGTGTTTAACCATTGTGCCACCATGGGTTCTTATACTATTACTGTAGATAACAGGACAGGTAGAAAGAACTCATTTAGGAGGGTAAGTAAAAAAGTATTGCTACAAAATCATAGAAACCTTTATCAAATATCAAAATATGAAGTGACTGTTTTTGACATATCCGCCATCTAGGTCCATACACTTCTTTTTTCTTTCTGCTTATGTTTAAATTTTTCTCTTTTTCTGGGGGTAGATAGGAATAAGGAGTGACGGTTAGGACTAGACTATGACTAGGTCTAAGCTAGGCCTAGGACTTTGTTTATTGTTAGGGTTGTGATTCGGACTAGGGTTAGTGTTAGAGGCAGGGATTTGGGTAGGGTTAGGAGTAAGGCCTCATCTTGTTTTTAGGTTGTTGTTGTTTTTAAGTACCATGAAGTCAGTTCTACTCATAGTGACCCTGCCCAAGGTTTCCAAGATTACAGTCAGGTTTATTTTTATTTTGTTTTTTCTTGAAATCTACTTGACAGTCTTCTTCATTTGGAAGTTCTGTACCTACATTATTCCCTCTTTTTGAGTTTTCTATTATTGTTGCAACTGTAGTTCTTATTCTGTTTCAGTTTTATAGGTCTATTTTGCTTTGACTATTTCCATATCTGGGTCCAGTCTAGGTGATATTGTCATGCATGTTAGTCTCAAGTTACTGTCTGGTCTGCTATTGTTTGTTCTCGGCCCAAAGAACTCTCTTTAGTATTTTTTTGTAAGGTTGGTCTAGCTTTTACAAATTCTTTTGATTTCTGTTTATCTGAAAATGGCCTGATTTTTTACTACCATATTTGATGACAATTTTTGCTGGATATGGGATTCTAGGATGGCAATTTGTTTCTTTCAGAAACTTAGTAGGCACTTAACAACAACATATATATATATATAGCAAAACCTTCTCTTATTAATTCTCCTTTGTAGGTAACTTCTTGGTTTTCCTTAGCTGCTCTCAGGATTCTTTCCTTGTCT